ACACACGCACACACACGCATACACACGCACACACACGCATACACACGCACCACACACGCACACACACGCGCCAACACGCGCCACACACGCACCACACACGCACCACACACACACACGCACCACACACGCACCACACACGCACACACACGCACTACACACGTACCACACACGCACCACACACACACGCACCACACACGCAACACACACGCACCACACACGCACCACACACACACGCGCAACACACACGCACCACACACACACATGCACCACACACACACACGCGCAACACAAGCGCAACACACGCACACAATCGTACATGAGCTCGTAAACCCCCCCCCCTCCCCGCGTCCTCCTCCCCCCGTCTCTCGACCCCGCCCCTTCTCCAGGTTCCAATGAGAGGCCCCACCCCGCGTGCTCCCCCTTCCCCATCTCCGGCACCCCCCCCCCCCGGCCTTGCGCCCCCCACGAACCCCGTAACGAGCGCGTTCGAGAATGCGCAATGAATGGAGGCGGAGGAAAGCGCGGGCGCGTTCATTACGAGCAGCGCCCAGACGACCCGGCGCGCGGGGGAAGGGGGGAACGGGGGAGGTCGGGGATGATAAGAAAGAGATGGAGAGGGGTCCAGAGGGGAGACGGAGGAGAGGGGAGAGCAGTGGGGACAGGAGATAGATTGGGTGGGAAGAGCGGAGACGGGGAGACAAATGGGGGACGAGATGGGAGACGGGAGGAGAGAGACTCGCAATGAGGACGGGTGACCACGAAGGGATCACTGCGAGGTGGAGCGATGGAGAGAGGAGAGATTGGGGGTAGATGGCGGAGAAGGTGGGATGGTATTCGTGGGGATCAGAGACAAGAAGAATAAGGTGATAGAGAGGGGAGACGGGAAGGGAGCATGCGGAGAGAGAGGGGGGGGGAGAAGGGAGGGAGGGAGGCGACAGTTAGCGAGGAGAGCAGTGTGAGAAGGGAGACTGGAGGGGAGACGAGGGAGCGATTTAGAGAGGAGACCCAGGAGGGGATCTCGACCAATCATCATTACTCAGAACCTGTCAAAAATGAGTACCACTTTGTCGTTCTATGGATAGACTGGCCGCCGTCATGGGAATGTGTAATTTTCACCGCTGGCTTAGGGCCAGGAGTGTTGACGAGACGTGTGATCCGGAAGAGTCCACGCAGCTCGCGCGGTCACCACTTCACTCCTCGCTGTGCCAGCTGATGAGCCAACTCATCGACACGAGGCATTGCCCGCACATACACCCGGCAGTCACACGGCATGGGCTCAAGCAAGCCTGACCTTGCTGATGAGACACTGAATGTCCAAACCGGACCGCCAGAGGTTTGTTTGTGTTGAACCAATGCTACCCAAAGTAAGCACTCCCAGAAGGCGGTGTGGCCGATGCAAAGGGACAGACATGGGACGGAGACATCGTCTGCTGAGCTGCTGCGTTACTTCTCAACACGGGGAGATCGAGAAGGGGAGGGCTACAGCCCCGCCGCTCATCCCGCCTTGTGTGTGTGTCAGTGAGTGATGGGGCAATTATGGAGAGAGTGGAGAAGTTTCCATACCTGAGCAGTATACTTATGACCATCTACGGTCTGGCAGCAGAGACCTCACTCCGATTCAGTCGAGTGGCATTATATTCTTTCATCGGCTGCGTAATGCTGTGTGGAAGCTGTTTGCTCTATCGCTCCGTACGAAGATCCGTGCGAAGCTTTGTGTCTTCTCAGTCACAGTTATGCCCTCTCTGAAACGTTTAGGTTGACCTGCCGACGATTCATCATTCTAGCTTTAACCAGGCTGGATTGTGTGAGCTCACAGATACTTGGAAGATCTTGTGAGTTTCTCCAGCAGGCGAGGCTGCGTTGGCTGCGTCGTGTCGCCTGCATGCTCAGCCACGGCCTGCCCAAGAAGCTCACGTTTCGCCCCATCGAGGTGGTGCACGGGCTTGAGAAGAGATGGAGTGATGCGGTACAGGAAGATGTGGAGCTGAGTGGACTTGCCAATGACTGATACCAGCGGTGTCAAGATCGGCCTCTGTGGAGGAGGCTCGTGAAGGACGCTACTAGGCAGTTGGAGGCAGTCGCCCTCCCACAACAACGGAGGGCAGAAGAGCGACGCTCACAACAACGAGCGGAGCGCCGGGTGGCTAAAGCACAGCAGGTTTGCGCAGTAGGGTGCACAGGTGGTGCATCAGCCAGTCATCTCAGTCAGTCAACCCATGGCACCTGAGTCCCTCCCGTGACCTTCAGCGAGCCTTCGACATCGCCACTTCGTGGCGAATGACGGCTGTTGTTGTTGAGGATGAGTGTGTGCGTCAGTGTGAGTGTGCGCGTCAGTGTGAGTGTATGCGTCAGTGTGAGTGTGTGAGTGGTGAGGCTGTGCTGGTGTTGGTGGCGTTGATGGAGGAGAGGAGGTCCCTCGTGGCGCCTGCTGAGAGATCACTCCAATTCCCTTCCCCTGGGCAGGGGGACAGCTGCGCCTCCCCTCCAACCCTCACCCCATACTGCACCGCACACCTCACCGCACACACCTCGGCATCAGACCTCACCACACACAGCTCACCTCACTCCCATTACGTCACATACCACACCAGGCACACCTCACCTACTTCGACATACCCCACACAGCACACCCTACTGACCTAACCCCGCACCCAGTATACACACTCACATAGTGCACACCGCCACACACCCCATCGCACACCCCATCGCACACGCGCGCAGTGTTCCGCCAGATGGCGGTCACTGCTTCCCGGCCCGAACTCTGTCCTCCGCACCCCCTCCCACCTCTTGTCCTATCCCCCAGGGCCCCCTGCCCACCAGCCCCCCCCACGACCCCTTTCACCATAGTTGTGAAGAGTTCAGTATTTTGTGTTGTTGTCCAGAAAGAAGTCACGTGTTCCGTGGCCGCTGTCGCTCAAGTTTATTCACGGAGGCGCGGCGAGGCGACCAATTAACCCCGGGCTCGCGCTAATCACAATTCGGGGCGGATAAACTCTCGTGTTACCCTCACGACATCGGCCTCGTTAACACCAACACACAGATGTGGCGACATGGCTCAGAACGGAATCTCCACTATATTCTCGAAACCATCACCCTCGCATCATCATCGCACCATCACCATCGCATCATCATCACCGCACAGCGACTACGAGGCATCGGCATCTCCAGGCGCTGCACGTCACCCCCGCCCCTCTCTCTCTCTCGCGTCAATGGTCATATCAAGAGGAGGAGATCCCTCCTGAAACAAAAAAAGTCTTAGGACGCAGTGAGGCTTCGCTGGGTGAATAAAGGGTTAATATATTGAAATACATGTTCGGCATTGGGGGCTTGAGGTGGCACTTCTTCGAGGCCTGTGACGAAACCGGCTTTTCGAGTGTAGCAACGAGTTAACGACGGTCTCGGCCCAGCCACGAATGACGAGGACCGTCAACACCGCCGCCACTGACCCAAGTCGGTAGCGACATTTAAGTTCTGTCTTGAAAACTCGCCTCTCTAAAGTGGCCTTCACCCCCCTAGTCCTGGCCCTGTGTACCCTGCAGGTTCTATTTGTTTTCTGCTTTACATACACATGGCGCATTGGGATATACGGATGAAATGCGACTTACAAATGTGCATCATTATTATTTAAATTCATTTTGCATTTTATTTATATACATACAATTTGGCTAAATTCTAGCTCTGAGAATCACAAATATCAGCTTGACGGACATACGACACGCATTTATCTCTGTGGCAGTGCGGGTGGCAACCCGCTGTGCTGCCGACCAGAGGTTACGTGAAGGGCTCTCAGAAGTCATTCCGTGAAATCCTCTTCCGCGGGCCGTTCTGACTCACACGAAGGGGGATGGGGGGGTCGCACAGCTGTGCGAGTTTCCCGAACCGATTCCTCCTCGTCTCGTGATAACGCGACGAGGAGAGAGCGCCATCGGGGGAGAGAGCGCCATCGGGGGAGAGAGACAGAGAGGGGGGGGGGGCGAGGTGAGCGTGGGGATGGTGCGCGGGTGAGGCTGGCGAGGGAGGGGAGGAGTCGCGCCATCTCCAGCGCTGCCCTGGAGAGCACGTGGCTCCACTGACGTCACTGAGGTGAGGGCGCTTCGCTCGGTGAGCGATGCTTGGGCGCCCACTTCGTGAACCCGCAACGGTGGAAATTCCGCATTCTGATGACAGGGACCAAACTACCACAGGGCGACCTACAAAGTGACTTTATCTAACCCCGAGATATGTTGATGATGATTATATAAATGATGAACTGTTGATGTTGTGTATGATTATGATGGCCTGCTGCTGCTGCTGATGATGATGATATTAATACGATTGATGGATGAATAATGCATTCAATGATGACGATTGACTGGTGGTGATCATTTTGCTAATTATGAATTCATGCTGATGAGCTGAGCCAACCATGCACTGGGATGTGAACTTAGAATCTTCCAGTTCCCCGATCTCTGAGCACAGGACTCTGCAGTCCCATCATCATCAGCCGCGCATTCGCTCCCAACATCATCATCATCATCAAAGTGCTGCCCGGTCCAGACCTTCAAGGGCAGCACTCGCGCGCGTTGTAACGCGTGCCGTTCGTTTCGCAGTTTGTTTTCGTTGTTAATGTTTAATCTGCATTAATTGCCTGCGTCGCCACTGCAATGTAAATGCAAATCGTACCGGTAATTACCGGCTAATTGCTTCGCTGTGCTGATGAACGGTTTTCATTGGGCTTCGTGTTGTAATTGACGACCGGGATGCACGTGTCCCTGGCTGGGCGGGGCCAGGGGCGCGAAGGGGCGGTACTACCCGTCGAGGGGCGGGGCTTCTCCGCGATGGGCGTGGCTCCACACCCGAGGCGTCGTCACGGTAATTTCGCCCGCCCGCGTGATTGGCTCCGCGAGACTCGGCCACACGGTACGAGGCTCGTGATTGGGCCGTCCGGTGCACGGGCGGGACTGGGGTGCGACCTCCCCTCCCCCCCACCGTAGCCCCGCCTCAAACCCCCGTGACCCCGCCCCTCTATGGCCCCGCCCCCGCGGGGCACGCGAAGCTCGCGCGCCGGGAGCCGCCACTCGGGCCCGGACGCGAACCCGGGAGGAGTCCGGTCTGCAGCGCGGTCCGGCGACTCGTCTCCTATCGCCTGCCCCCCCCCCCCACCGGGGCTCAGTCGAGCCGCCACGACTCTGTTGCAGAGGAGACCCCCCTTTTCTGGACGCCCGCATCTTCTTTCCCGGGACCCCACCGCTCCCCTGTCCCGCGCCACCCCTTGGCTGCTCCGTCTGTGAGCCGCTCCGTCTCTGGGCCGCTCCGTCTCTGGGCTCCTCGATTCGTGTTCCCTCCGTCTCTGCGCTCCTCCATCCGTGGACTTTCCCGTCTCGGGGCTCCTCCGTCTGTGAGTTGCTCCATCCGTGAGCTCCTCCGCCCCCCCTCCCTCCTCCCCCTCCTCTTGCGTTCTCCTCGCGTCGCGATGGGAGCGCTGCTGCTGCTGGAGGTGATGGTGGTGATGGTGGTGCTGCTGCTGGTGTCTCCGTGCTGCCCGTCGCCGCTGGAGGGAGGAGGCCACGAGGCGGCCCTGGCCGTGGCGGGAGGCCGCCACGCCGTCTACTGGAACACCAGCAACCCGCGGTGAGGCTGCCCCCCCCAACCCCCGTGCTGTGATGGAGGAAGGTGATGTTGCTGGCAATGATGAGATGCTAATGGATGTCCGGGGGATGGTGATGGGAGTCTGGTGAGGAGGAAGTGATGGGTTGGCGGGGAGGAGGTCTGATGATGGGGTATGGGGAAGAGGTGACGAAGCTTCATTGGAAGTGATGGGTGTCAGAAGATGCGATTATAAGTCGAGGGATTGTGATGGGGAATAGTGAGGAGGTGATGGTACTGTGATGGGTGGGAGATGATTGGGGGTGGGGGGGGGTGATGAAGAATGTAGAGGGATTGATGGGGCCTGGAATGGAGAGTACGCCGGGGGAGGGTGTGGGGGGTGGTGAGGTCTGGAGGGGCGGTGAAGGGGGTCGGTGGAGGACCCGGTCCCCAAGGGGACGCGTCTGGTGTTGTTCTTGCTGTTGCTTGTGTTGTTGTTGCTGCTGCTGTTGTTGTTGAGACGCCTGCGAGAGGCGCAGGCTTGGGTGGGGGACGAGAAGCGGGGGGGGGGGGGGGGGTCGTGGGAAGCGGCGGAAGGCGATCGAGAACTGTGGTTGTGTGTGGTTGTGTGTGGTTGTGTGTGTGTGGGGAGCGGTGGTGCAGCGGTTAGCGCGCTGCGCTACGAACCCGGCGACCAGAGTTCGATTCCCTCTCACGGCCAACACCAGTGACGATTATCTGAACCGGTCCTGGGCCTCATCTAGGTCGACTCGGCCTCAAATGAGTACTGGGTGCGATGTGTGAAGGCGGCCTTGCGTGGTTCTGGCCACCCACCCCGTGTGTCGGCCTTCTTAGGTGCTCGCCAACAGCACTTGCCCCAGCAGTCTGTTAAGCCTATACGGGGATCTTGTGCACTGCTTCTGTGCATGCCTGCGTGCGAGTTGGTAAGTGTATGTGAACCTTTGTGCGTGAATAGGTATCCGTGAATGTGTGTGTGAATGTGTGCGAGTGGATGAGTTGGGATGGTGTGGTGAACGCGTTTGAATGAGTGTGCGTCTTTGTTCGCCAGTGTGTTTGTACAAGTGTGTGAATGTGTGCGAGTGATTGTGAATGGAAGTTATTGTGAGTGTGTGTATGAATGGGTGTGTCCGCATGAATGTCAGTGGATGTGATCGCAGGCGCGTGTGTGTGTTATAGTGTGGGGTCCGCTGGCGTAGTGGATAGCGCACTGCACTAAGAACCCGGCGATCCGAGTTAAATTCCCACTCACGACCAACATCAGTGACGGCGAATAGCTGAACCGATCTCGTGCCCTCCACTAGGTCGACTCTGCCTTAATTATCTGGTACAGTGTGTAAACATCAGCACTGGGAAGACAAAGGCGGCCGAGCATAGAATTTGCCAACCAACGTGTCGTGCCGGCCTTAATAGGTGCTCGCTGACAGCATCTGCTCACGACTATCGGGTGGGCGCTGTGTCGGTGTGCGGCGAAGTGACGTGGCTACCGAGTGTGTGTCGGGAGTGCCGCTGCACAGAGGCCCACGGGACGCAGGGCCCCAGACGCCTCGCAGGGCCAAACCCCAACCACGCTACGCCACTGCCCGTGTTGTGTGTGTGGCGCAGTGGTTAGTGCACTGCGCTACGAACCGGGCGATCCGAGTTCTATGCCCCGCTCACGGCCACCAACACCAGTGACGACTGGGCGTCCCCTACGTCGACTCGGCCTCAATGAGTAGTTGGTGTAGTGTGTCAACATCAGCCAGGCGTGATCCTGATCACACCGTCTTACCCACCCCCGCCGTGCTGCCCTTTGTAGGTGCTCGCTAACAGCGCTTGTCCCAACGGTATATAAGTGTGCGATGACTATGGTTAATTGCCCGAAACGTTGCCTATTATATTTTTTTCCTTTAAAGGCCACAATGTGATTGAAGAACGTTTTGAGGATTTTGTTATAAAGCTATCGGGAAGAGGTGTGTGTGTGGGGTGCGCGCGCGGTTGTGGGGTGCGCGCGCGGTTGTGGGGTGCGCGCGCGGTTGTGGGGTGCGCGCGCGGTTGTGTGTATGGGAGTCTTTGTGGTGTGCGTGTGTGACAATTTGCATGGACGTGTTTATCGTGTTGCATCATCGTTAGCCTTTGCTCTTTACAATGTCTCCATAAACCCAGGGAACAATCGGTGTGTGCGGCGTGTCCACCCATGCGTGTAGCTGCACACGAGTACATTATAGCTGTGTGTGTGTGTGAACACACGTGTATCTACATGCGTATCCGTCGGTATGTACATGTGTCTATATGTCTGTGGGTACACATACACATATGTGTATACACGCGTGTGGACCTGTTCATGTACACACCTGTGCCGTGGCTGGGGGCACTGGCTTCGCGAATTCCAGCGCAGTGAGGTCACTCTCCTTCCGCTCCTCGCCCCGGACTGTGCCCCCCCCCCCACCCCCGCGGGTTCGCGACCGCGCGGGGGGCGATGTCCGCATCAGGCGCAACGAGGAAATCACCACCACAATCACCACCACCACAATCACCACCATCACAATCACCACCATCACAATCACCACAATAACTACCACAATCACCACCACAATCACCACCACCACCACAATCACCACAATAACTACCACAATCACCACCACCACAATCACCACAATAACTACCACAATCACCACCACCACAATCACCACAATAACTACCACAATCACCACCACCACAATCACCACAATAACTACCACAATCACCACCACCACAATCACCACCCCCACTACCACAATCAGCACCACTACCACAATCACCACTACTACAATCACCACCACCACTATCACAATCACCACCACCACTATCACAATCACCACCACCACTATCACAATCACCACCACCACCACAATCACCACCACCACAATCACCACAATCACCACCACAATCACCACCACCACCACAATCACCACCACCACTACCACAATCACCACCACCACTTCCACAATCACCACTACCACAATCACCACCCCCACTACCACCACTACCACCACAACCACAATCACCACCACCACTACCACCACAACCACAATCACCACCACCACAATCACCACTACCACAATCACCACCCACACTACCACAATCACCACCCCCACTACCACAATCACCACCACTATCACAGTCAAAACCAACACTATCACAGTCAACACCAACACTACCACAATCGCTACTACAATCACCACTACCACTGCAATCAAAACCACAACCACAATCGCAACAACCGGCCATCACGGCGCTTGTGCCAGGCTGTGTGCACGTTGAGGCCTTAACTACCACAATCACCACCACTACCACAATCACCACCACTACCACCATTACCACTACCACACTCACCACCACTGCCACAATTACTACCACGAATAATCGAACACTTCGTTCCTGCACCACTACTACCACCACCACCACCACAATCACCACTAACACGACAACGTGCTGCCGTGAGTGAGTGCGAGTGCGGTGATCGGAGTTCGATTCCCGCTCACGGCCAACACCACCACTGGCGATTACCTGAACCTGTCCTGGGACCCTCCCCGAGGTCGACTCGGCCTCAAATGATTACCCCGCGCGTTGCATGAACAGCGCTGGGAAGACAGCGGCGGCTGGCTGTGGTGCTGGCCACCCAGCCCCTCGTGTGCCGTTCCGGCCTTCATTGGTGCTCGCTTAGAGCACTTACCCCAACAGTTTGTTCAAGGCTACACGGGGGGGCTTTGTCTTTGTTCTATGAGTGTGTGAGCCCTGCGAGTCGGGGCAGGGCGCCGCGCCCTGCCTAATACAGGGCTCGTGGCGCCCACAGACAGGCGAGATTAGCTCGTGCTGGTGGGGAGTCGACAGTGGTGATGGTGGTGGTGTTAGTGACTGGGGTTTGGTAGTAATGATGGTGGTGTTAGCTGATGGTGTTAGTGGCCAAGGTTGTGTCGCATCGATGACGGTGGTGATTATTGGTGATGGTGAGATGAGGTGGTTGTGTGATGGCGGTGATGGTGTGGGGGTGATGGGGGGGGTCTCTGGAGATTTGAGGTTGAGGAGTCGGGGAAGAGGTCATGGAGGGGCGGGGGGCGGGGCTAGCGGGGCAGTGCGAGTGAGTGGATTTTGGGAAACGCGATATGAGAAGGCGATGATGGACGGGGGTGAGGGGTGGGAAGGGGGAGGTGTGTATGGGGGAGGGGGGTAAAGTAGGGGGAGCGGTGGCGCAGCAGTTAGCGCGCCGCACTACGAGCCACCTGAGTCCAATTCCCACTCACGACCAACAACCGTGAGCACATATTTGAACCGGTCCTGGGCCTCCCCTAGGTCTACTCAGCTTTAATTTGGTATCTGGTGGGGACACAAAGGCAGCCGGGCATGGTGTTGGCCATCCACCCCCTCGTGTGCCTTCAAAGGTGCTCACGAACAGCACTTTGGGGCCATCAATTTAGTACGTACGCATTGAGGGGGGAGGTGGGGGGGTTAACCCAAATGCGTACGCTTGCGTATGGGGGGTCTACTGACAATATACACATAGGAAACGGGGGGGTGGAGGTGAAGCCTCGATAATAGTTTGTCTACATTGACCTTCAAATAAGTTAGATAGTCCGGCGGTAAACTATCTGTTTGCTTAAACACGTTAATATTATTAATCCTTGATCGTTTCTGCGTGGATCAAATATCGGCCGTTCTATAGGATTCGGGGGGGGGGGGGGGGTGTGAAAAGTACGCGTGCGTACAGGGAGGGGGGAGGGGTCACGCTTTGACAGATTTTTGCGAACCTACTAAATGGATGCCTCTTTCTCCAACAGTCTGGTAAGCCGATAAGGGGAGTTCTTGTGGTTAGTGTAGTGGTTAGTGTAGTGCACCGCAAACTCGACGACCTGCATTCGATTCCCAGCCATGGCTTGCAGCCACATCCCCATGTAAATATCATCAGCAATGGAGAGACAGAAGCGGCCGCAGAGAGGGTGACAGCCACACCAAGCCTCGTTCACCGTGCAGGCCCGCACCGGTGCTCCCTAACACAACAGCGGATATTA